TTCTCTGGAAGATACATGAGAAGGAAGTAATAAATACGGCCACAAAAGCCCTAATGGTATGCAGAAACTTTGCAGGTAAACAATGAGGATGTAACCCAAACATACTGTGATGGATGCATATTGTAATAGTGAGACCAATCATCACTTACGGGTCTAGAGACTGGAGTAACTGAACTAATTTAGCTACTACGAGAGCTAATATATCAAAAATACAAAGACTAGCCTGTGTTTGAATTACTGGTGCAATGAGACCCTGCCTTACGACCGCAATGGAGGTGATCTTAAACCTCACCCCTCTACATTTGATTATAGAGAATGTGACAAAAAGGACACGATATAGAATGATCAGGAACGGAGTAATCAGACGAAAGTCTACTTGCTTCAAGACTAAAGACACCTGGGATACCCAGGATGAAATACTAAAGAAGTACAGTTTTGTGAAAAACTTCAAAACCACAGAGCTGGGCTGCAATAAATAATGGAGCTAAGAATCCATCGCGCTTGCAATCGAAAGACGTGCTATGCAGAGGTATACGAACGGTTCCAAAACCATAGAAGGAATTGGAATAGGAGTGTTTGGGCCGATAACCAAGCACTCCGTAAGCTTGGGAAAATGCATAAGGATCTTCCAGGCGGAAATTCACGCCATCGAGAAGTGTATCCAGTTGAACATCGACAGAAACTATCATAGACAAGAGATTATCATCATGTCCGATAGTCAAGCAGCCAGCAAAGAGCTGAGCTCTTACGTAATCAGCTCAAAAATGGTCTGGAGATGCCTAGAGCAATTGAATGAGCTAGGCGAGAAAAATAGAGTTATTCTCACTTGGGTCCCGGGGCATAATGGGGTACAGGGTAACGAGATTGCAGATAGTCTTGGAAGGAAAGAGACTCAAATGCCCTTTATACTACCCTGATTAGCTAAAACGTCCTATCTGACAAAATTTCAGTTTAAGAGTTAAAGGTATGATGCAGACATGTAACTACAACGTTTTCCTACACAAAAATGTATTAAATCCAATTTAAAGCACTTGTTTCTTACGTTCAGTTTCGTTCTAATATTTACAAAGTGGACAATATGAAAACAAAATCATTAATATCTCAAAACTTTCCTCATTTCAGATAGGAACTGAGCCGTTCTGTGGTATCAGCAGTAACATAACATTAGGAGAGATTAAAAAAGAATTGGGCAGTAGAAGAACCCATAATTGGAACAATCTCTTGGGGCTGAGACAGGCCAAGATACTTCTGGATAAATATAACCAGAAAAGATCGGAAGCCTGCATCTGCCTAAGCAAGAACAGGCTATGTATTGTAACAGGGATGATTACCGGACATTGCCGACTAAAAGGACACCTAAGTAAACTGAAAGTAGTAGAGGATAGTGAGTGCAGATTCTGTGAGAAGGACGAAACCTCCTCTCACATCTTATAACTGAATGTGTAGCACTCCAGAATCCAAGGGCACTATGTCTAGGAGGATATCAAATAGAAGAGGGAGATTTACCTAACTTGACGCCACTTCAAATCCTACACTTCTTTGAGAAAATAGGATTGGAAGGATCGTTATAGCGACAGAAGGGGGCACAATAGATCTTTTAGGTCGCAATGTATTAACACCCCATTCTCAACATAACATAAAACTGAGCTTCAACAAGGGTGAGGTAGTTGTAAGAAGAGATGTTTATAAATGTGAGAATATGGCTATCAAAAGTATTAGTCTATAAGTTTCTTCACGCACACCATTTTTCAATTTGTACAATTTCTATCACATTTCCCACATACAGTGAACACAATAAGTCTTACCCCCCTATCTAACTCGTTACTGGAGTCTTGTTAGGAAAATCGCTGAGACACGTCGATTTTTGATTTCTACAATGTACATTTTTGTGTGAATAGTTTACCCTTAATTTCATCCCTTACTGGAGGGGAGCAACCCTTTCGAAAAATTTAAATGGCATGGGGTGGTGAGTGATAGCTCATTTGAAAGAGGGTTTTATTCTCTATTCAACCGTGTAAAAATTTTTAAAAGTTGCTTCATTAATTCTCGACTAATTAAAAATTAAACAGTCTGAAGTTTCCTCGTGGCCACTTGGTACATAGAAGTACTAGCTATTGCCTGCGGCTTTGCTCGCGACTTTTCTCACATGTAGTCGTGTTATTAATATAAAAAAATATATAACTTCCTTTTTATTAATTTTTATTAGTTTATTTTTAATTATTTTTGTTCATTTTTTTTTTGTATTTATTATTTTTTATTTATTTTTACTCATTTTTATTCATTTTTATTCACTTTTATTAATTTTTATTCATTTTTATTTATTTTTATTCAGTTTTATTAATTTTTATTAATTTTTATTAATTTAATTTTTATTAATTTTTATTAATTTTTATTCATTTTTATTCACTTTTATTCATTTTCATTAATTTTTATTAATTTTTATTCATTTTCTTTCATTTTTATTCAATTTTATTCATTTTCATTCATTTTTATTAATTTTTATTAATTTTTATTTATTTTTATTATTTTTTATTAATTTTATTAATTTATTTTTATTAATTTTTATTCAGTTTTATTCATTTTTATTAATTTTTTATTAATTTTTATTAATTTTTATTAATTTTCATTAATTTTTATTAATTTTTATTAATTTTTATTAATTTTTATTAATTTTTATTAATTTTTATTAATTTTTATTAATTTTTATTAATTTTTATTAATTTTTATTAATTTTTATTCATTTTTATTCACTTTTATTCATTTTCATTAATTTTTATTCATTTTTATTCATTTTCTTTCATTTTTATTCAATTTTATTCATTTTCATTCATTTTTATTAATTTTTATTAATTTTTATTAATTTTTATTAATTTTTATTAATTTTTATTAATTTTTATTAATTTTTATTAATTTTTATTAATTTTTATTCATTTTTATTCACTTTTATTCATTTTCATTAATTTTTATTCATTTTTATTCACTTTTATTCATTTTCATTAATTTTTATTCATTTTTATTCAATTTTATTCATTTTCATTCATTTTTATTAATTTTTATTAACTTTTATTTTTTATTAATTTTTATTATTTTTTATTAATTTTATTAATTTTTATTTATTTTTATTAATTTTTATTCATTTTTATTCATTTTTATTCATTTTTATTAATTTTTATTAATTTTTATTAATTTTTATTAATTTTTATTCATTTTTATTCACTTTTATTTATTTTCATTAATTTTTATTCATTTTTATTCATTTTCTTTCATTTTTATTCAATTTTATTCATTTTCATTCATTTTTATTAATTTTTATTAATTTTTATTAACTTTTATTTTTTATTAATTTTTATTAACTTTTATTTTTTATTAATTTTTATTATTTTTTTATTATTTTTTATTATTTTTTATTAATTTTTATTAATTTTTATTATTTTTTATTAATTTTATTAATTTTTATTAATTTTTATTCAGTTTTATTCATTTTTATTAATTTTTATTCAATTTTATTCATTTTCATTCATTTTTATTAATTTTTATTAATTTTTATTAATTTTTATTAATTTTTATTAATTTTTATTAATTTTTATTAATTTTTATTAATTTTTATTAATTTTTATTAATTTTTATTAATTTTTATTAATTTTTATTAATTTTTATTAATTTTAATTATTTTTTATTAATTTTTATTTATTTTAAATAATTTTTATTAATTTTTAATAATTTTTTTATTAATTTTTAATAATTATTTTTTTTTTATTTTAGTTTATTTTTATACTACCATACAAAAATCTAACCACAGAGCACGTCCTTATTTATTTATGCTACAATTATAATTTTCAAGTTCCAACCTTCAAAAAATGTATACTTCTATACAAATTTTTACCCCCGTTTCCCCCCCTTAAAATCTGAAAATCCAAAAACCATGAAACATATTTTTGATTTTTAATCAGTAGCTGTAATTCAAATTTTTATGTTTCAAATTTTAAATAACAAAAAAATATATACAAACTATTAAACAAATTCCCCCCCTTAAAATGTTAAAATGCAAAAATCCTGAAACACTTCATTATTTATTTATGAACTTAGAATTCCAATTTTCAAGTTCCTACCTTTAAAAAAATCGATATCTCCAAATAAACTTTCACCCCCATTTCCCCCCTTAAAATGTGAAAATCCAAAAACCCTAAAACACGTCATTATTAGTTTGTATTCATTAGATGCAATTCCAATTTTCATGTTTCTAACTTTAAATAGAACCGAAAACATAGATAATCCCAAATAAATTTTCACCCCCCATTTCCCCCCTTAAAATGTGAAAATCCAAAAACCGTAAAACACGTCATTAATAATTTGTAGTCAGTAGCTGCAATTCCAATCTTTATGTTTCTAACTTCAAAAGGAACAAAAATCAATAGTCCCATACAAACTTTCACCCCCCGTTTCCCCCCCTTAAAATGTGAAAATCGAAAAATCCTGAAACACGTCATTATTTATTTATGCTTAGTAACTGTAATTTAAATTTTCATGTTTCTAACTGTAAAGAACAAAGAGTTTCATTAAAAGCTCCCTCCCCCCATTTCCTCCAATTTCCCCCCTTTAAAGTTAAAATTTTGAAAAATCCTTTCTTAGCGGATGCTTACGTTATAAAATAAACCTATGTTCCAAATTTCAGCTTTCTAGGCTCAGTATTTTTGGCTGTAGGTTGATAGGTCAGTCAGCCAGTCAGTCAGGACAAACAATTTTATATATATAGATTATACTTATAGGTAACTTTTTCCGATAGCAGCAGTAACTAAGACTCAAAGGAATGAAAGGATCAATTTCTTATTATTTTTGGATTTTAAAAGGATTATGGATAAGAAAAGCTATTAAGATTATTACATTTTTTACTTTATTATTGTAAAAAGGAAAAATTATTTTTAAAATACAAAAAAAAACCTCCCTATTTTCGCACTTATCCAATCATTATAAAAACCTAATTAAGACAATTTAGAAATTACCTCTTCCACTTGATCCTTAGTAAACATGTGGAAAAAGTCTTTTGGAGTCATTGTCATAACTTCTACATTAGCAGAATTCAATTTTTCTTCCATAACCTGCTTGAGAATGGTCAACGCTGCAGTCGTCGCTTCCTCTAGAGTCATACTGCGATGGTATACTTCTTGTAGACTCTGTTGCGCCCCTTCTGAACCGGACCCGATGGCTTTTGCATCAAACTGAACAAAAGTACCTGTAAAATTTATATAAATTTCAAGTTTTAAACTCCTACTGACTTCATATTCGTTCATTATATAGTGCGAATATGATCGATAGCTGTTTTATTATTGGTGATACAAAGAAATGTTTAATATAAAAATTGCAGGACAATATTTTTATAATTATACTTAAGGGACAAACAGAACTTTTACTTTTTTAGATCATCTGGAACTCAAATTTAATTGTTTACAAACAATTTTAATAGACTTAGCTTTTAGCTCTTACCATTTGGAATAAAAATTCATTTCTATCAAAATCTTAAAAAAAATTCTCAAATCCATACACCATCCCAGTATTGCGTTTACTAAATAATAATTTTAAGTTAACAAACAAAAAAAAAATGTTTACCAGATGGATCCATATGGTATAGCTGAGGTCCTTTCTCGTCAATACCAGCAAACAAGATTGCCACACCGAATGGTCTGGACATTGCAGCACCGTCATCATCTGAATCGCCAAACTGGATTGCTAAATTTGAAACACCCTGTGCACATGATTCGATACTGATATTTTCATTGTAAACGAACCAGTGGTTTTGGCATTCTATTCTAGCTCTAAAAAAATAAAAGATTTTAAATGTAAAGAAAATAAAAATAATTTGTATAGTTAAGAGGAAAATTTACATTACAAACTGAAAGACCTGCGGGGCAACGGTAGTTTAGTAGGTATAAAAATTACAACTTTAGGGTGGAGCCTAAATACTACAAAATTACTTCCGAGACTAAACAAAACCCGCATTCATTCATAATTTTAACAATTGCCTGTAGATACGAGGGATACGTATTCCAAACTCTAACGCGCGAAATTAAGACAAAGGAACCGAAAAATCCTAACACGGAGTGAGTCAGAGTTACCTAAATTAGGGGAACCAGAATCGTATTTGCTTTTCTCGGTGCATTGGCATTGCGAGATATTGGCCGTGTTCATCGTCGTCAAACATGTTTTAAAAGCAAAGAAACATGTTTCATAAGCGGTTGGAATGACTCTGAACGATCATTTTTGTTTACGATTTGTTTTCTCAACCTCAAATCTGTCAAAAAATGGAATGACATTTGGTTGGCACAAAGAAGGTTATGTGAATTGTTTACTTTAGTATTTTTTTAAAAAAATTGGGTTGAATTGATTTGTACAGTGAATTAGAGTTTATATAAGTACCCTTCTGAAAGTTGTTTTGACAATTTTACGGCGAAAAACCTACAACTTGTATTATTTTGGGTTGTAAAGTCATGATGTTTTTATTGCCTCTATGGATCTTGAATTCTACATACTTAGAATAATCAAAGACATTGTAATAGTCATTTTATTAAAGGTAAAATACATTTTTTTGACACACAAATAAAAACATACTGTAACTAGATCATACTTTGAAGAGCAGAAAGAGAATGCTATTTATTGTGTTTAATCAACTGTCTGGTCTGCACCAATAAATTAAAGGAACTCATGATACTAATAACATACATATCAAAAAGTGATCTTTTTACATATATCAAGGATACATAAAAGTGTTTAATAATAGAGACATCAAGTATGACTTTCTTATTTTTAGGGAAACAGAATTCCTTCAAAGTTAGTAATCATTTAAACTGGACTCCAGCCCAGAACTTGAGGCATGTGTCTCAAACCAGTTAAAAACTAACTGAATCGAAAAAGGAGGAAGAGATAAAAATGAAAATCAACCTGAAGTAAACTTTTATTTTTGAGTCATACCTACCTAACATCATAAGTCCCGCTTTAGGCAAGACAAACCCACTTTCAAGTTATTTGTACCATTGTCCCCAAAGAACGCAAGAATGTCCTGCTTTAAAAGAAAAGGTGATATGATGCAAAGCATTCTATTAAAAAAGAGTTATCTCTTATAAATATGGGCTAGTGAAAAAACTTACCTAATTTCAGGTATTAGTATTGAAAGCCAAGCATAACATAAACAAGTCACAACAGTTCCACTCCCATTTAAAAACTAAAATATAGAAAATCAGCCCACTAAACAAGTTTTATTTCGCTTTTCTAATTTTTAATAAATAAACATAAAATTCTGTTATTTCACTTATTTTTAATACATTTTTTTATTATATTATTGTTTTACTTTTACTACAATCTTACTGTTGTTATTCTACATTAAAAATAATGAAAAATTGCTGTTATGCCTTTTAAAATTTACAGGCTTCTTGCTGTGAGGTAAGAAATGATAACGTTTTATTAGGTACAAAAACCGAAAATTGTTAAAATAATCCCTATCTAATGCTTTACTTATTTTTTTACAAAGTATTTTTTATGTAGGTACTTAGGTCTTATACATTTTTGGTCATTGCTAATATTCATTGAGTCTGAATTATTTTTATGTATTAATAAAATTTGTATAGTATTATAGAGTTATACATACCTTGTCGACAAACTATACATACAGTGATTCTTTTATAGGAATGATATATTTTGTATTGGAAATTAATAAATATACAAATTTAATGTTGTCATATAGGTAGAGCGACTTATTAGCAAAAATTATTTGAAATGTATACAGTAATGAGGTATTTTTTTATAGGTTCAACAAACCAAGGTGGGCCCTTTTTAATATAATTGCTTATATTTAATTTATTTTGTAAATAAAATGTCATACTCTTATTATTATTATTTATTTTTTAATATACATTACATGACAACAAAAAACATCGGTGCAGTTTTAATAACAAAACTCGTCTGTTTTGAATAAATCTGTGCTAAAACTATATAATATGTAGGTATGTTATATTATCCATATTCCTTACTGGTGGAATCCCATTAACGTCCAAATGAAATAATTTAAGCATACGTGTATGTATCTACGTCTGGAATTAATTTTATTTTCTTCAAACAGGTACCTCCATAAATACAATATTATATTAAAATACAACTTAACTAATCAACTCTATTAGGGTATAAAACCTTAAAAATATAAATAAATAAACACATAACCTAACAAAATGCCAAAAGACGGATTTGACAGAGGTTCAAGGTCAATTTTATGCTTTTAAAGCAAACAAGCGAGTTTATTTTCGCTTTTATGCTTCTTCAAAAGCGCTGCAGCGGTTGACAGTTCATCGTCACCGCTTACTCAGCGTTACAACATGTTTGACGACGATGAACACGGCCATTGTTACAACGCAGTTCGATTTATTAGAGGGTTTTACATTATTTTTATATTTTATTTTAGTGAATAGGTTTAGTTAGATTAAATTACATTTAAGAGTATAGAGGTGTGAAATATAAATACAAATAACGAAAAAATAGACGATTGGCTCGAATAAGGTAATATCAGTTAATACAGGGTATTTATTTATTGAGTGCCGATACTTAAGGGTGTGAATCCTTTGGGTGTTAAAGTTTTAAGAAAAAAAAATAACTATTTTATCATAAGTTTCTTATCACTCTAGATATTTTTATAAAATTTTTCCCAAAAAAAGTGTTTCCACTCATGGTGGGTTCCTACCAAATTTCAACAAAATATCAAAAGCAGTTTCAATATACTGGTTTTCATTTTCTTACCCGAAAAGGGTGCTTCGTACGAAAGTACGTCATAAACCAAATTTGCTCCAAAATATATAAGAATTTTAAAGATAATTTTGGTTTTTAGAAAAAGCAGTGGCGCACCATATTTTTTTTCAAAAGTATTCAGTTCAAACCCGGCACGGACGTCACTGGTAAAAATTTAAAAGTCTTTTACGACAAAAGGCGAGATTGAAATTGAAAGTTTAGTCTGTTGGTACATAATATACTATATTTATATATCTAATTTTTATTATTACACTGAATGTGACATGGCTTTTTTTTGCCTTTTTTGGATCAACAAAATATTATTTTAATGATTTAAAATAAACTGCCAGTAATAATAATAATAATAATAATAATTATCTGTACTTAAACATATGCAAAAAGAAATCATAAAACGACGCATAAAGAAAGCACCAAATTATTAAACTTTTAATTTCCGTAAGATGTGTTGAAAGTAATTTTAAAAAACCGACTTTAAAATCGTGCAGATGCCATCACCACATCTAAACCAAATTTATATGGGACCATCCCGGAAGTACCCCCTTTCCAGCAAAAAAGAATAATTTAAATCGGACATTGTGTTAAAGAATTATCGCTGAACATACATAAAAAAAATATACAGACGAATTGAGAACCTCCTCCTTTTTGAAGTAGGTTAAAAAGAATATAATAATCTATATTATTTGTAATAACTAAAAAACTACTATGTGGAGTTATATACATCTTCTTAAATTAATCTTATATGTAAAAATGTGGGTTCGGTTCCTAGAAGAGTACCTAGTTCACTGTGCAGCCAAATTTATATTTATGGTACAGAATTTTTTGAATAAATAAAGTTTTAGGTTTAATTAAACACTAAGTTTTATCAGGAATAACATTTTCTGAAAAAAGTAACATAAAAAGCAGACTTTTTGCGAGCCACTATATATATTTTAGAGGACAATCCATATTATTTTAGAAAAATAAATTAAAGTTTTATATAATCACATAAATATGATTTATCTTTTAGAATATTGTATATGTTTGTCAAAGTTTACTAATTTAAAAAAAAACAAATATTCTTCAAATATTTTCTTAAATTTTTTAACACGGTACAAAATACCTTAATCCGTTTAAAGTCATCGAAATATGTAAAGAATTTTAACTCGTTTAAAAAGCGTTCTTTCTCTTTCCATTTCCTATAAAAACTAATAGACCTTTTTGAAATCGGTATTCGGTGACTTTTCTTCTGTTTTATTGCCTTGAAAATGATATGATTTACATAAAAAAACAAAAACTGACTTATTATTTTTGTGAAATAAAAATATGTTGTTATTTTCACAATTTTTGACTACTTTTCGTTTCTAAAAAAGAAGTACGATGTTCTTCTCTAGATATTAACACATTGTTTAATTGGCTTTTTATTTTTTTTAAATATTCTTTAGTATTTTCATAATTTGGGAAACAGTATAGCATTGAAATTGTGAGTACGCTTTTAATTAATTGTCTGTTTTTTATCTCACAATGTGTCGATAAGAAGTTATATAGAAAAAGTTAGTATTCAATATCATCCAGACAAAAAACAAAAACATGTTTAAATGAATATATTAAATAAATTATGAGTATTCTTTAACAGAGATATATTTATTTGTATTATGGAAATAATGTTTATGTCAACAAACTTATGTTCGATATTTGTATCAATTTGTAAAAATAACTCTTGTATAATGATAATATTAAATTTAAAGGTTTTAAATAAGGACTTGCAGATATCACAATTCAAAATTCTTTTTATTGGCCATAATACTTTTTTTGGAATGAAAGCAATAGTTTCTGTTTTCCAGTTAAGCTCCATAAATTTATATTTTAATCTGAACGCTACTTAAGCGCAGTAAAGTTGCAACAACTAAACAATATAGTGAACTTTTCGAAAATTTCTAAGTTAAAATTAAAATCAATTTATATTTAAAATTAAATAAGTTAACTAACATTTTTGACCGTTACGAAGTTAATAAAGTTATAAATAACGTCGTTACAAAGATTTATGTTT